TCTCTGTGAACGTTGTCCCTGTGAACGTTGTCGCTGTGAACGTTGTCTCTGTGAACGTTGTCCCTGTGAACGTTGTCCCTGTGAACGTTGTCACTGTGAACGTTGTCACTGTGAACGTAGTCGCTGTGAACGTTGTCCCTGTGAACGTTGTCCCTGTGAACGTTGTCCCTGTGAACGTTGTCGCTGTGAACGTTGTCGCTGTGAACGTTGTCGCTGTGAACGTTGTCACTGTGTGAAAGTTGTCCCTGTGAACGTTGTCGCTGTGAACGTTGTCGCTGTGAACGTTGTCCCTGTGAACGTTGTCCCTGTGAACGTTGTCACTGTGAACGTTGTCTCTGTGAACGTTGTCGCTGTGAACGTTGTCGCTGTGAACGTTGTCGCTGTGAACGTTGTCCCTGTGAACGTTGTCCCTGTGAACGTTGTCCCTGTGAACGTTGTCACTGTGAACGTTGTCACTGTGAACGTTGTCCCTGTGAACGTTGTCCCTGTGAACGTTGTCACTGTGAACGTTGTGATGGACGTGGAGCTGGAGGTTGCTTCTTTAGACCGAACCTCCACGAACACTCAGTCAAAGATCAACTCGAAGCCGTTTGTTGTGTTTTCACTCGGAGCTTCTGGCTCTTCCAGTTTTCACTTCCTGCCGAGCCAAAACAAATAAAAGACGTGTGACGAGTCCGTGTCCTGTCCTTTGTCTTTTATAATGTGTCTTTTAGTCACAGCACACGCACACAATGACATAACAAATACCTGTAGCACTGAAACAACACAACGAGCCCCAGCTCATAAAACTTGACGTGTTTTTTGTTCCTGCAGGAAGAACCGATCAAATTCCAGCAGCTCGGATCATAAAACCTGCATCGCCCTGATTTCTGTCCTGGTTTTGGAAAAACCAGAAACAGGAGTCCAGAAGACGTCCGCAGACTCAGAACTGAACTAAAAGGTTTGATTCTGCAGCTGATGCATCTTTACGTTGAGTTTCAGTCGTTTTGTCTGATTTTAAGCCAAACTTGATTCTGCGTTATTATTTAACAAACAGTCAAATAAAAGATCGTAATGTAACAAAGTTCAGTCACGTCCTCTGGATGATTCTTCTTCTTGAAACGTTTCGTCTTTCATCCAAAGGACTTCTTCAGTCTGAGGAGCTGCAACAACCTCAGTCTTATAAATATCACCTTCTCGTGGTGGATCACCCAGTTTGTTGTTGACATCCAGAACTACCGTACTTTCCGGTCTATAAGCTGCTACTTTTGTCACGGGCTTGAACCCCCTGCTCTGTCACACGCGGGCGCTCACGTAGCTGCTCACTGCACGTCTCTCTTGCAGGGGGGGTCCTCGTGACTCAGTGAGACCGCCTGTATAAATAAAGGTCAAATCTGACCAATGAAATTACCGAACAGGTCCCAGTGGACCAAATAAACTTGGTTTCATTGGTCCACGGGGGGGGGGGAGACTTCAGTCGGTCACATGTCCTCAGGTAAAATTTATGTTAATTATTAATCATTTGAGGTTTAGCATTGTTCTTTTAGTGATCAGTCTTTTCTTGTTAGCCTAGTTTATGTGTTCACGATGTTGGTTTGTGTTTGGCCATTCAGCAGAGTAACCAGGAGTGAGGGAGGTGGTTGTCATGACGACCTGTGGGGTTCACTCTGTCTGCGTGTTGAACAGTGAAATAAAGTCTATAAAACCATCTGGTGGTTGATTCTTGATCGACAACAAGAGCTGCATGTCCCTCAGGAGCTGTGTGCTGACACACTATAATATCTATTTTAAAGTTTTAAAACATTCTTCTCTGTAAATATCTCGTGTTACAAGTTCAAGAATCTTTATTATCCCCAAGGGGCAATTTCTCTCACCATGCAACGTGGACGCCAGCAGCAACAAGTGTGGCCTATATGCTTTATGTACAAATGTTTTTATTATTTTTAAATTTAGTGGGCGTGGCTTATATTCAGGTGTGCTCAATAGTCCAGAAATTACGGTAGTTGTTCACATGCTCAAGAAGGACCATCAGCCTAACAATGGGTCATTAGCACCTGATGGCTGTTTACTGTTCACAGAGGGCTGAGTGATACTAGCAATCACAGCATTGTAAGAGGGGGACAGTTGAACCTGGAGGCTCCACCCCTGTTTAATGATGGACGGTTTCTTTTCACAAAGATGGCCTCCTTTACTCCTCTCTCAAACCATCGTTCCTCTCTGTCCAGGATGTGAACATCTTCATCCCTGAAAGAGTGACCTCTGACCTGGAGATGAGTGTAGACGTCAGAGTCCTGGTCTGATGGTGTTGACTCTGAGAAGGTGCTATTTAAGAGACTGAGCTGAATACAGCACCTCAGACTGAGGAAGTCTCTCGGATAAGAGACCAAACGTTTCTATATTTTTTTGCTTTGTTTAGTTTTTTTGAATGTCCAGAGGACCAGATTGAACTTTTTTGGATTTTTCTACCTGGATTATTGAGCAGCATCAGGAAACATTTTGTTGCTTCTAGTTCTTTATTTGACACAGTTACTAATGGAAGATCAGCCACCTCACTTAATAACCAAACTTCTACAAATCAAATCCCTCCTACAAGTCAATCCTCAGTTAATCACAGCTTCTCTTTTTCTCCATTCTCAGTCAGTGAGGTCAATAAACTGTTAAAAGATCTTGATCCTAAAAAATCTGCAGGTCCAGATGAACTTCCACCTTATTTCTTAAGGCTGGCTGCTCATATCATCACAGTCCCTGTGACCCACATCTTCAATCTCTCCATGAGACAAAACTCCATCCAGACACTTGAAAACAGCCTTTGTTCTTCTTTGCTGAAGGGAGGAGACCCCACCTCACTGAACAACTATGGACCAATCTCTAAACTCTGCATTTTAGCCAAGGTTCTAGAAAAACTGATAAACTCTCAAATCAAAAATGACCTGGACTCATTTAACATCTTACCTCCACATCAATCTGGTTTCAGGAAACAACACAGCACAACCACTGCTTCACTGAAGGTTCTTAATGACGTTGTTGAAGCACTGGATGCTAAGGATTATTGTGCTGCTCTTTTCTTAGACCTGTCTAAAGATTCTGACACTGTGGATCAGAACATCTTGTGTCATAAACTCTCAGAAACTGGTTTCTCAGAACACACCATTGGTTGGTTCTCTAACTATCTCTCAGACCAGAGGCAATGTGTTCAACATAATGGCACTTCCTCCAGTTATTTAACGGCCAACAATGGTGTACCACAAGGCTCAGTTTTAGGACCCACTCTCTTTACAATCTACATAGGTAATGTAGGTCAGAGCATCCCCGACGCATCCTTACATTTCTATGTTGATGACACAGTTGTTTATTGTCGAGCTAAAACAGCTGTTTTCCAGCTTTTGCAATCCACTTTTGTCATCATCCAGTCAGATTTGTTCTGTCTCAAACTTGTCCTAAACGCCGACAAAACCAAAGGGATGTTGTTTTCAAACAGAAAGTCGGTCCCAGCAGTTCTTCCTTCTATTTTATCTTCGAATGGTGTCCATATTGCGTTTTTCGATTCTTATAAATACTTTAGTATCTTGGTCGATTCACATCTCTCTCTTAAACCTCTTGTCGAAAACTTGGTAAAGAAACTGAAAGTAAAACTGGTCCTCAGATAAAGCTCTTGGCTCTAGAGTAGGGGTATCCAACACACTTACAACAGGGGGCCAAAATTAAAACCTTTTTCAAACTAAGGGCCAATTTCAGAATCTACATCAACTCAAATCAGATACCCAACATCTTTTCTTGGTCACAAATTCCTCAAAAAGAGTTTGATTGGTCTCATTTGATGTTCTCTGCTGTGCTTTCAACATCAAAATCAAAGATTACTAGAAAAAATCAATAGATATAAGTATTTTACGTTTTACTTATTATCTTGGGGGCCAGATAAGATGTCAATGAGGGTCACATTTGGCCCCTGGGTCTTGAGTTTGACACAAGCTCTAGAGCAATGTGGATATCCTAACTGGGCCTTCCTGAAAGCAGAGAAGAAACCCAAACAGGACTCCAGTCAGCCATCAGGTGAAAAGGAGGAACCCAGACCCAGACCAGTGGTCATTCCATATGTTGAGGGAGTATCAGAGAAACTGAGACGTTTATTTTCTAAACATAACGTCCCAGTGGCTTTTAAACCCCAAAATACATTAAAGACTGGTTCATCCCAAAGATCCAGTCCCCCGGCACAAACAGAGCAATGTTGTGTATGCTGTTCAGTGTCAGGAGGGTGATCAGTCTTGCATCGGGGAAACTAAACAGCCACTGGCCAAAAGGATGGTCCAGCACAGAAGATCAACATCATCAGGCCAGGACTCTGAGGTCTACACTCATCTCCAGGCCAGAGGTCACTCTTTCAGGGATGAAGATGTTCACATCCTGGACAGAGAGGAACGATGGTTTGAGAGAGGAGTAAAGGAGGCCATCTTTGTGAAAAGAAACCGTCCATCATTAAACAGGGGTGGAGCCTCCAGGTTCAACTGTCCCCCTCTTACAATGCTGTGATTGCTAGTATCACTCAGCCCTCTGTGAACAGTAAACAGCCATCAGGGCACTAACGAGCCATCGTTAGTCTGATGGTCCTCCTTTATCATGTGAACAGCTGGTTCTGGGTGTCAACAACAAACTGGTTGATCCACTATGAGAAGGTGAGACTGAGAAGACTGAGGCCCTATTTACATGGACACGATGGGGGGAA